TTCCCTATTTTAGTCATATAAAATAACAAAAACATATTTTTACCAAGGTAAAACATATTATCCGATTTTAATTATATTATATGGCTATAAATTATACATATAAATTGTGGTTTTATAATTTTCCTAAAATTATATTATATAGTAAATCTGTCACTATTAATTGGTATTCTTATTAACTTATAATATTCTTTTTATTATTAATCTTAAATAGTTGTTAAAGCAAAGTCAATAAAAAATTTAAGATCTATACATGTTATAAAATAATATTTTTAATTAGCAAAAGAATTAAATAATACTTAACATATATTCTCTTTAACTAATTTGCCTATTCTAAATCACTCACCTATTATAAGTCAATCTCACATCTCATTTTGATTTATATATTATTGCTTAAAAAAATTCTTATTTGCCAGTAAAGTCGAAGATTGCAAACATATTGCGATAGAAAATATGGTGTCTGTGTTTAAAAATGTCTGACTAGATATCGCGCAGTATGGGATTGCTTTGCGTTAAAAATTGGACGTCACGTTCAGATAAGATTGTAAATTATTCCGATCTTGAAAGGGGATGTTGACGTAAAGCAGCGTCGGAAGTAGGTCAGACGTATAATTATCTCTCGCGACGAAACACAGCCTCACAGAAATCTTACCCTTTAATTACGGTCGCCTGGAAACTTAACCGAGCGTGTGAAGACTTGTAATTTATAACTTATAACTTAAGTACGCTCGATGTCTTCGAGAAATTTATCGCGCTCGCGCGCGAGCGTAGTCGCGCGTTTAATAGCGAACTTCGAGAGTACACCTTCGCCTTATTATACCTCAGCTCATCTAACGACGTCCCTAAACACGCTTATGAACTAATGGTCGACGGACGCGAATCGAATCGTGTTAAACAACTTTATTAATTTAATAATTATTTAATTTTAGCATTCTTATCCAGCTCTTTCAATGCAATTAAAAATCCTCGTAATTTTACGCGTCAATTATACGGTGTAAATATCTTTATAATAACATTCTAATTACGCCTATAATTTCTATTATATAGTTTTTAGAATTACAATCATCATGAGGTAATAAAATATTTATAGAGTATGATAAAGATCAATGAAAGAGTGATAGCATGCTATAATTATATCGACATAATCTTCTAGCACTCTTCTCATATTTTATTACTACTTTTTATTTATCAAATCTGCTGAAATATCACCCCGATATGTATAATTAATATTCTCCTCTACGACAATTGCATCTGATGCATAATTAAAAGCATCGTCTACGTCTATAAAGATTACAGTAGTACCATTTGCAGACTGCAAGATGTACGTATAAATAGAAGCCCTCAATCATTTTTCAATCTTCTTAACGAGATTATCGTGCAACGACTAGAAATTTGAAATATCATCATTCATTTTTGTAAGCTCGCAAGTTCATCCAAGAAATATGATCTTATACTAAGACTTCTGTCGCTCTCTCGAATTTTACACGATTAGTCGCGTTTGAAAACTGTAAGAACTTGCAAAAAAAAAATTGTAGATTCGAAAGGGATTTTTAAAATTTTTTGATCATTTTATAAAGGAAATTCGACAGACAAAGAGAGAGGGAAAAGTCTCGCAATTCTATTACATATCTCCGTCACTCTCGGATCTGTATCGCACTCGACGCCTCGTTTAATCCGTTAGGCGACTTGACACGCCACCCGCCGGAGTTACGGGGGCAACGCGTGAAATCGTTAATCCCGATAAAGTGTACGACATGCCACGCGGCCTTATCGCGCCCTCGCGCGCGCCCGCTCCAGCTCCAGGTATCGATTATGCGATTTATCGCGCGGCGATAAAGTCACGGCGACGACAAATCTCCCCGGGCGTTAATTCCCCCGACTGTCGGCGCCGAGTGAACTTCCGCGCTGCGGCAACCCTCGTCGTCGTTGCCTAGGTAAATCGGCGACGGATAACGCCCGCGACGATTATCGGAGGCAGCATGTAGGAAGGAAGGACCTGTGAAGAGGACGTGTGTCCTCGCGGGAAGGATTGGAGATTAGCGACGCCTCAGGATCACTGGAGCAGCATGATCCGATGCGAGGCGCCTCGCTCGATCGCGCGTTCAGTGGCCTTGAAATAATTACATCGGCTCCCCGTCGCCGTCGCCGCTCTCCTAAGCGACACTTGCTCTCGTTCCCTTAATGACGCGTTTTGCGACGTCATCTGGAATGCCTTCCCGATGTAGGCGACGCGAGATCTCTCTTTGATATCGCCGGAAAGAGCCGACTGCCACTTGCAATCTCAGCTAAGACGTTCAGTTTGATATCTCGAATTTTACTTATAAAATTTCACACGAGAAAGGTACCATAAAGGTACCATATTCTCGAAAATTTAAAGAATACTGTAAAAAATTTTATGGAAAAAAAAGGTTGGGAAACTTGATATATGACTCTAGAGAATAAATTGCCAATATCTTTGAAGAATATTTTTATTCTCTGCTTTAACTTTTTCTATTTAAAAAGATTTCTTCATTATACTTAATCTTTTCACATATTAAAAATTTTTATACACAATAATATGTTATGTGCAATAATCAGAAAATAACGAAAAATAAATTTCATTGACACTTTTTAATTCTCTGATTAATCGCTTTATTGATAGTCGCAATCGAATATGAGCTTTATTTGAATCGTCAATGAACAGCTACCGCGTTTCATTGTCAAACGCTTTGAT